GGAGTCCCCCCAACCGCGATCGCCGGCGTGGGACAGCCGGCGACCGGGTAAGTTAACAAAAACCGGAGGGCGTACAATTACGCCCAGCGGCGTTTAGAGCCGCCTATTAGAGGGCGTAATTGTACGTCCTCCGGTTTTAAGGGGTTAATTACTATGCACGCAGCTGTTGTTGTGACACTGCCTGCTTTTGTGTTTAACTTGCACTTTCAAAAAAAAATAAAAAAAATAAATAAAAAAGATTGCAGTTTATTGATAAGCCTTCTATGTGCAACAGTGTCAAAAGCCTTACTGAGGTAAGCAATGTCTACTGCACCACCCTGATCTATAATTTTAGTTACCCAATCAAAAAAATCAATAAGATTAGTTTGGCATGATCTCCCTTAAGTAAACCCATGTTGTCTCTGATCTTGAAATCCATGTGTTTTTAGATGTTCAACAATCCTATCCTTTAACATGGTTTCCATCACTTTCCCCACTACTGAAGTAAAGCTTACTGGCCTATAGTTGTCCGACTCCTCCCTATTACCTTTCTTGTGAATGGGCACAACATTCGCTAACTTCCAATCTTCTGGGACTACTCCTGTTAACAATGATTGGTTAAATAAATCTGTTAATGGTTTTGCTAGTACACTACTAAGCTCTTTTAACAGCTTTGGGTGTATTCCATCAGGTCCCATTGACTTATTTGTCTTTACTTTTGACAGTTGAAATAGAACCTCTTCCTCTGTAAACTCACATGTAATAAATGACTAATTTATCCTTTTTCTCAACTGAGGTCCCTTTCCTTCATTTTCTTCTGTAAATACAGAACAAAATATTCATTGAGGCAGTCAGCCTGACCTTTATCCTCTTCTACATACCTTCCTTCTTTTGTTTTTAATCTAACTAATCCTTGTTTTACTTTTCTTTTCTCATTTATGTATCTAAAAAATGTTTCATCCCCCTTTTTTACTGACTGTGCTATTTTCTCTTCTGTGTGTGATTTGGAAGCTCTTATAACTTGCTTAGCCTCTTTCTGCCTAATCTTATAGATCCTTTTGTCTTCCTCACTCTGGGTTTTTTTATAATTCCTAAATGCTAACTTTTTGTTTTTAACTATTTTGGCCACATCTGCGGAGTACCACAGTGGTTTCTTGAATTTTTGCTTTTACTGACAAGCCTAATGCAATTTTCTGTTGCCTTCAATAGTGCAACTTTTAAATAATTCCATTTCTCTTGGACTCCATTTAAATTGCTCCAGTCTGATAATGACTCCTCTACCCATATTCTAATTTTAGAAAAGTCTGTTTTTCTAAAGTCTAAAACTTTTGTTTTTGTGTGGTGTGACTCAGTCACCGTTCTTATATTAAACCACATTGACTGATGATCACTGGATCCTAAACTTTCACCTACAGTAATATCTGATACTAAATCTCCATTTGTTAACACTAAATCTAGTATGGCCTCTTTACGAGTTGGCTCCTCAACAACTTGTTTTAGAGACAATCCCAGTAGGGAGTTTAGAATATGTGTGCTCCTGGCACAAGTAGCTAATTTTGTTTTCCAATTTACATCAGGAAGATTAAAGTCACCCATGATGACTTCCCCCTTCATTGTCATTTTAGCTATTTCCTCAACTAGTAGATTATCTAACTCTTCAACTTGTCCTGGGGGCCTATAAATCACACCTACAGGAGTTACTGTGTGATTACCAAATTCTAACGTAACCCAAACGGACTCTATGTTTGCCTCACTAACTCTTTTTAGAATAGATTTTATGCTATCCTTTACATACAAGGCCACCCCTCCCCCTTTCTTGCCTTTCCTATATAAAGAGTACCCTGGTATTGCTATGTCCCAGTCATTTTTCTCATTATACCATGTCTCCGTAACAGCGACTAAATCTACATTATCAGTTGCCATTATTGCCACAAGTTCATGGATCTTATTCCCTAAACTGCGAGCATTTGTAGACATGACTCTAAGCTTATTTTTTAACACACTTGCTACAGACACCTTCTGTCCTTGTTTTGGGGGACAATTGGATTGATGTTTTATCACCCTTTTGCCCCCCCTCCTAGTTTAAATACATCCTAGCAAAACCTCTGAACTGCTCACTGAGAACATTTGTTCCCTTTTGAGAAAGATGCAAACCATCTTTTTTGTACAGCTTATCTCCATTCCAAACAGAGCTACCATGAGAAATAAAGCCAAATCCTTGCTCCCGACACCATTCACCAAGCCACAAATTAAAGTCCCTAATACGCATCCGCCTGTCGTTCTGAGTGTTATGCACAGGCAGAACTTCAGAGAATGACAGTGTGGAAGCAACCTGCCGTATATCATTGGCAAAAACACTAAAAACTTCCTTAACCTCTGAAACCTCATTGCAAGCCAAGTCATTCGTCCCTAGATGGACAAGTACATCCAATTCCCCTTCCTGCTTAACAATATTAGATACGTCTCCGGTCTCTGAGCAGTAGCTCCGGGAAGACACCTCACAAGACCACCATTGTCCATCTCCACACCTCTTATAATGGAATCCCCCAACAACAACTGCTTTCTATTAGTCCTCACCATAGTCTCCAAGCTGGTCTCCACAACACCATTACACTCTGAAAATGCAGAAAATGAATTATGAAGAGCACCAGACTGTGCAAAATGCCTTTTATCCACAACTCTAGGTCTACCAGATCATACAGTAATCCATCTGCCATTCCTAGTTTGTCTCTGTGGCAGTGGCTTTGCAGCATTTCCAGCCTGAGTTTGTTCACCAGATAATTTACAAACCCGACTTCAAAAATACAATCTCCTGCCTCAAGATAGAGAACTGTCTACAGATCAGACAACAACCAAACCTCCAAAAAGATCCATTTACCTGTTGTCTTGGCTCCCTGTTAGTCTGTGCCATAGCTCCAGTTCAAAGTTACAGTGTGCTGCCTGTTTTTATATTGAACTGAACACAGGTTCCATGTTAAATGAGATTTTTGGCTGAACAAAAATTATCCTTTAACCTCACCCAGTTATTAGATGAAAAACAGTTTACATGTAATTCAGTTGAGTGTGTAGTTATATTGTTTTTGGCAGGGGGAGTTGGCCTGTTTTTCTTCTTCCAAAACGACCATTTATTCTGTTCATGGTTTGGTGGCCTTTTGATGACTGGTTGTTTTCCTTATTGTAACATCTAGGCTGCAGATTTCATGGTGCTTAGCCATGCTAAAGACTGGTGGGTTAAGATGGCAGTTTAGGTTCTACAAGATCTAAGGGCTAGCTTTTTTTTGGAGGGTACTGAATAGACATTTCTTTTCCACATATTTTGTATGCTGCAAAAATTATTTGCGATATTAAATTTCTATCAACACTACAGTGGGAGATGTGTTCCATTTCAACTACAGGTAGCCCAGCATTGCCAGATACAGATTTATTTATAAAATATTTTACCAGGAAAGATACATTGAGATTTCTCTCGTTTTCAAGTATGTCCTGGGTCCACAAATCATTGCATTGTTACATTAGGTACAACAAAATACAAAAACAATATTAATACACAAAATTTAACATAGAACAGGCAGGAAATATATAATCAACCATAACACGTGCATTCTGTTTTGAGGTATGTAGAGAGGGATCTCTTAAATGACTTTAGGCTTAGGGAAGATTTTAAATTGTGCGGGAGGTCGTTCCAGATGTAAAATTTGACTTGTAAATGTTATGAGTGCTTTAATCTTCATAAAAGGAAGATTAGCCACCTGTCTGTCCTGTGAAAGTCACCAAGCTTTCCAAGTGTTTAATCTAGCACAGACTAGATCATATCAGGTTTCACTCAAATGTTATTTTTCTACTGTAAATCAAGCTTGTGACTTGTCCAAATGCTTCAAGCATACAGACCATACATTTGTGGAAACTGCAACCTACACCAAGCCAATGCTTTTTCTGACAAGTGTTGCAGACGCCGCATTAGTCTGAAGCCCTCTGGGCATTAGTTGACACCTATACGGCAATTGGGGGCACAACACACCCTGTGAAGTTTGAGAAGCCATTTTTCAAGAGCAAGCATCTATATGCCAAAGTAGTTTAAAGGGACACTATAGTCCCCTGAACAACTTCAGCTTAAAGCAGCAGTTTTGGTGTATAGAACATGCCCCTGCAGCCTCACTGCTTACTCCTCTGCCATTTAGGAGTTAAATCCCTTTATGAACCCTAGTCACACCTCCCTGAATGTGACTTGCACAGCCTTCCATAAACACTTCCTGTAACGAGAGCCCTATTTAGGCTCTTTATTGCAAGTTCTGTTTAATTAAGATTTTCTTATCCCCTGCTATGTTAAAAGCTTGATAGACCCTGCAAGAGCCTTCTGTATGTGATTTAAATTCACTTTAGATGATTGAGATACAATTATTTAAGGTAAGTTATGTCGGTTTGAAAGTGAAACCAATTTTTTTTCATGCAGGCTCTGTCAATCATAGTCAAGGGATGTGTGGCTAGGGCTGCATAAACAAAGTGATTTAACTCCTAAATGGCAGTGAAATGATCTCTACACTAAAACTGCTTTATTTAGCTAAAGTAATTTAGGTGACTATAGTGTTCCTTTAAGGGGAAGGTATTTTTGTTCTTAGATTATCCCTGTAATTGAATAGTGGACTTTGACAGAGCTTTAGGTTTTTTAGTTACCCTTTAGCACAGGAGCCCAATAAACTAAACCGGGAAACAGTTAACATTACAGAATTAAAGTTTTAGTGTTCCTTTAAGTAGGCATTCTAAGCAAAATACATTTAACAAAGTTGTTTAAAACCATGCCCGTGCAGGCCTACTGCTCCATGTGGTGCAATTTAGGAATTAAGTCACGGTTTATATAGTTACTCTTGCTACAGTTTGCCAATAAAAAAAAAAAAAAAAAAAAAGCCTGAGTGTAGGCTTACACACAAACATACTTGCACCTTGACCGTTTAATAAATGCAGACACGTTGGCTTTCAATGTTATTTATTTGTAAAAAAAAAAGCAGGTTTGATTTTGTCAGTGCATTCAAGCTACAAATGCTTGAGGGCACTAGTATCTCAAGTAAACGATAAAATTAAAAATGTGTAACAAAAGAGTTGTTTCCATAGGAACACAGTTAAATGTGACCCCCATCTCACAGTCATCCAGTTTGTTGCATACATTGGAGTTATTTCTAAATAGAATAAAATAAAATTAAATGGTCCCAAAACCTTATGCTACTATTGAAGAAGACTTCTACAGTTACAGAGTCAGGGAAACTACACCAACACTTGTAGAATTGCAGGTTGTAGGATTCAGCTCAAGTCCACTTTCCCAAGCACAAGACACAGGAAGAGTGTTCAAGTCGTGAACTTCAGGAACGATACCATGTTCCTTAATACTCAGCATCAGTTGCCTAAGGAGAAATAAAAAAAAAAAAAAAAATAAATAAAGTTTACCTTAAGTTTAGCTGTTTATAAGACACAGCTTACAACAGTACATATATAAACCATAAAAAGAAAACATACCAGTAAGGTCTTGACATTACATAGTACAGTGTAGGACGCTGGAATCCATTAAATGTTGAAGATGCAGCAACAGTATAGGCGCCCATGTTCTCAAACAGCATCCAGTCACCAACCTGAAGTTCAGGCAAGTCAAAACGCTCAACTATACGATCGAGTCCATCACATGTTGGTCCCCAGATACTGCTGGAGTAAAACTGCTCATCTGGCTTTGGTTTCTGCCAAAAGAAAAAAAAAATTAAGTGGTATGTTAATGGGAGAGTGCAGTTGTGCAAGGTCAAATCCCAAAACGATGCATCAAGAAGTCACATTTTGAAGGCAATTGAGAGGTGTATGTGTATACATGCATATATATCAGGGCATATTAGAGCACCTGGCTACAGATGTTGCCAAGTTGAAAGCTTGCTCAGTCAAAAAGATAATACCAGGGTGTGAAGAAAGCACAAAAAATAAAATAAAAATCAATGTTTAGTGTCCAAAAGAATAAGATTCCATACCTTTTGCAAAACTGGCTTGACATGTGCGTGATCATACAAGATGCAGTTAAAGGACCCATATACACCATCATTTACATAGTACATAAGAGTCTTGTCATTGGCACCATCTTCCTCATCTGTAAAAAACAAACACAAAATCTCCACTTTTAAGGGATTCTCTCCATATGCCAAAGCTTTTTAAAAATAGACGTGTTACATCATGCAAGCAGTTATGCTGTAACTGAGTTTTAACATGCAGGACATACCATCAGAACCAGTCTGTTCACTTAGCATCACTTTCTTTGCGATTATGTTAACAGCCAAGGTGAATGCTGATGCAACATAGTATCGGCCAGGTTCTGCAATTATCTTCACTCCAGAGTCCACTGGGAAGTATTTATCCAGAGCAGGATTAATCACAGAGGTTACCTTTATAGAAAAGAAAGTTGAAGTTCAGGTTTCTACATTTATATATTAAAGCCCTATGGACATACTACATTGTAATGTAATCTTTCCCAAATACAATGAGAACCGATTGATGGCACGAGTAACACATTCTTTACACAGTAGTGTACTGTATATTTAGTAAATACCTCTTCAAATTTAAGCTTTACATCCTCCGATCCAGGAAATCCACCACCAATGTCAAGTAAATGCATGTTAAATCCAAGTTCAGCCTATAAAAGTAATTTTTTTAGATGCAAGTTAGAATACTAGACAATAAGACAACTACACATCAGTCCTCTTGTTTTATCAATTTTAATTTGAACATGTGGATGTTTGAAACACTGCCAACCCAACTTATCCCAGATGAATAAGACCAGTTATGTTAGCTAGGAGTGGCCAAACCCAGAACAAATCATACCAAGATTACTTTTAATTCTTTATTTGTGGGGCTGCCTCTTAAACAGGCACTGTAAGCACATCATCTAATTGAAGTGGTCATACTGTTTAGAGCCCCCTTGCAAAGTTCTTCCATTGAAACAGTTTAATGTTTTAATTCTATGTGACAGTCCACAGCAGTCCATCTACTGTGCCTCTTGGGCTAATTAAGATTCATTAGTCTGGGCAGCTGTGATTGGTTGAGAGCATCAGCTGGCTTATTCAAGCCACAGTGCCACAGCAAGGAAGGCTACAAGAGACATGTAATCTCTATTCAGTGTTAAACTGCTCACAGATTTAACAATGCAGCAACCGTGCCAGGCAATTCCAGACACTAACCAGTTTAATGCTACAGTGTCCTTCTCTTGTGTATTTGTTGTATTTAAGACAGGCCTTTGACTTAAGGAGCCAATCTAGGCAAGCCACACAAAAGCTAGTAAATGGTGGCATGCTCTAGAACCATTGATAAGGGGATGAGGAACCACACAATTGAACTTTTACTTACCCCCATATCAAAGACACAACGAGCATCAGAGACAGCTTGCACAAATGTTTGAGGGTCTGTGCATCCACTTCCAACATGGAAGCTAGAATTTTGAAAAATAGAACATGTTAGTTTATATTGCAACCAGGTTTTCCTAGGTTGAAAAATGCATTTACACAGACCAGGCTTTCAAACATACCTTACACCAATGATGTCTACATTCAGCTCCTTTGCACGTTCCAGAAGTATTCTGCTTGTTTTAAGTGTGGCACCAAATTTGACACTAAGACGACAAACTGCTTTGGAGTCATCTGTTGCAATACGTAAAACCAGTCTATGGAGAAAGTGAGAAGTTTAGGGTCACTTTAAGAGTCATTCAAAAGCTGCAGATGTTGGACTAAATAGTTTTATATCTGCAGTTCTACAAACTGCTGATTTTGTGAAAACAGTGGTATTGGCACTTTCACACAGTCCAACAGTCCTATAATAAGACATTTATATCAAGTTATGTAATAACTCATGAAAAGTTATGTAATCTAAACAGTTTCTATTAAAAACAAGTTATTGCTTGAAGGGGCACTCCAACCTTAGAAATAGGTAAGTGGCAAACTGCTCCCTGCAATTCATCCATCTCAACACCTGTCACTACCCTTCTGCATTTGCAATTCTGACTAGGTTGGTTTAAAACTTATCCATGGTACTGATGTCACTGACAAGTTTTAATTCAAATTTTTACCTCCTCCTTGCAGTACAGAGAGGATAGGCCATTGGCAGAATTAACACAACCAGCAGACCAAAACCAACATTGTTTAAAGTCAACAAGATCAGGTCTGTCTGCTCTATTTTAAAATACTAGAGAGTCAGGAATACAAAAAGTATCTCAGCCAAACCAATGCTTTCCCATAGGAAAGCACTGGTAGTCTTTTGCAAATTCACAGCAAAATGCTGTACCAGATCAGCATCTTAGAGTTGCATTGAGTCAATTCATCTCTATGGAGAGTGTTCAGCACCTCTTGTGGCTGTATGAGGGATGGCCACAAGACTTTACTAGGCATCAATGCTAGGCACTGCATTCTCATTTAAAAAGCATGCAGGGACAGGCTATAGACACCAGAATCACTATATTAAGCGGATGACCAGTGTCCCTTAAAATATATAAAGGTAAAATATATCACGACTTTCAAAGTCCCCATATGTGGAAATCCTATATAGCAGATCACAGAACGTACTTAGCATTCGGATGATTCCGTGCCACCTTCATCAGTTCAACTTCACTGTCAAAAGTCATCTTCTCAACACCGCAACTAGCTGCATATTTTATTTGAGAGACTTGCTTGCAAGGGTTTGCATAGATTATTCTATCGGGGGTCACACCAATACTCTGTACAAGTTGAATTTCAGTCTAAGGTAAAAAAGAAATCATACCACATTAATGCATGCATGATTACAAGATAGTATGTGTGCAGTAGCCACAGACATTTTATAGATTACCATCTGTAGAACTATTTGATATATATAGTGTCACATTAAATTGGAAAAAACATTTTTCAAGACCTCATTTGTGTGAATGCTCAAGTGATGTGACCAGAAGCCCAGCTAGCTGTCATCTTGACTGCCAGGGAGACATGCAGTTAACTGCTAGAGCACTTTAGGAGTTGGAGTTATCCTTAATATTTCCAAACTTGAAAACATTGTGAATATATTCTGCACCATTTCTGGTCCACCCTGTGCCCCTCTAATATCTATTAAATATTTTAATAGATAGCCAAATTTAGTCATGGAGTTTCAGAAAGTTTAAGAGATTTATACCAACCTTACTAGCACAGTCAAACCCTGCCCCCATGATGGCAAGAGTCTTCACAACTGCTCTGCTGTCATTGCACTTAACAGCATAGAATGGAGTTGCGCGTGGGAGAGCTTTAAACCAGCGTATATGCTTCTTGACAACATCACCAAGGTCAGCAACATAGAACGCATCTTTGTCATCCTGAAAGAAAGACGCAGTGAATACCAAACACTTTGAGCACAATCAATAACACTATAGATTCCCAAGATAGACTTCACTTACAGACAAAGACACTTCATTAATTTTCTGCTCCACAATATCCCGGGCAGTAAAGCCTTCTTCCAGAAAGCTGAAGTCAAAGTCTTCGCAAGCAAAGGTGTTCATTGTCGCAATATAAAAAAACGGTTCAAAATAAAGTATGCAACAAACTGCAAGGGAGAAAGGAAAAACCATGAGTACATGATGCAAAACACTGATTCAATGCAAGAGACAAAACCAGCAGCTGTTTCCGAAATAGATATACTCACATGGACAAGTAAGAGATGGGGTTTATAGTAAAGAAAGCCTCAGCTTTGCTCCCAAGGAGGCTCTCCAGTGAAATAGAAGCCCGGCAAGTATAAGACTAGACCGACGCTCTCAAAAGAGCCGTTCTTAACTGCTGTGCTGTCGGCGTTCTGGAAGAGAAGGAAAGTTTCTGTAAACGTCACCATATGATAAATAGCAGTCTGACTCAGACCTTTCGAGCAAGAGCCTCCAAGACACTTGTAAAAGGACACCTTATATCAGCCACCCAACCCTTTTAATGAATGGCTGATAAGCCACGCCTTTTCCTTTCCGGCCGCGTGTCACATACAGGCATGACTTAGCAGCCGGCAAAATTCAGCTGTGACGTACCAGCCACAGCCAACACGGTTCACAAACTAGCTTGCTAGATGCCCTTTGCTCCAATAGTGTCAAAAGGACGTCTTTCCTCTAGGACTGGTTACCATCCAACCCTGACTCAATGACCTTAATTGTCAGGGGAGGACGTCATACCGTAGATCATGGGGGATGGTGATAAGCCTGCAGTCAGGTCCACGCAGATTGTGCCACGCTTAGCCCATAACGGAACATATGGACATACCAACCACACGTGTGTAACACTAACCAGCTATGTAACGTTACGCAAACCATCACCACGAAATACCGCAGATTAAGCCACACAATGTTATTCACTAAAGTGGGAATTTAATGTGAGTTTCGAGATTAACACAGGGCAGTCCAACCGAAACCATAGGAGGACATGGGGTTTTTCTAATTTTCTTGCCCTCGTTTGGACCTGAAATTAACTTTGAATTCGCAGCAATTCTCCCTTTAGTGAATAACCTGAATTATCACCATTTATATAGCACCAACAGATTCCGTAGCGCTTTACAATATTGTTGGGGAAAGGGGAGTAATATCTCTTCCCCTATCCCAGAAATACCCTTTGTTTTTAGCCCCAGGTTTTAACAGGAGCCCAACTCCCAACACTGCCAGCTGTAACCGCTCCTGTAGCCAGAGCATGATGGGAGTTGGAGATCATTTCCCAGCTCGCATCAGTCAATCCACAGCCGGCCAATCCTCGGGAACAGACTGAAATATCGCTGACACACTCCATGGCGCAGCCATCCATTCATTCACCGCCCGGCTCCCAGTCAGACCGGTGGCACCGCTCTCTAACACGGCCACAGGACAAGCAGAAGCCACGTCTTACCTTAAAAAGCATTTACGAAATCTGTACCCATCGAGGCGCAAAGCACCCAGGAGAAGAAAAAATTAACAGCGGAGGAAGAATGCGATGGAAGGCACGGGAGCCGCGTGCAAAGACCTGCACACCCAGGAAGCCAGAGGCGGACTGAAAGCAGGAGGGCCTCCCTCGCCGCTCTTTATAGGGCGCTCGCCGTCTCCATGGTGACGGGCCAGCTCAAACCAGCGCTGATCGGTTTGCTCCAGGACTCCCCTCCACCACGCTCCCTCTGTCTCTCTCTATAGAACCTTCCCTCGGCTCCCCCTCCTCCTACCCCCCCTTCTTTGTGACGTCAGCGTCCGGCTGGTCTCGAGCGCAGTGTGATTCGCTGGCTGTTACCGTTAGCGTTTGAATCGGCGAGGGGGGGTCTCGCGCCACCACGGCCAGTCCTGTCAGCCAGCCTTGGGGGGAAGGTGGGGGAGGGGAGTGGGGGGGAGAGAGAGATATACCGCACTATGCACTAAAGTGTGATCTGTGGGGAGAAAGTCACATTTTAAATAAAATAGCCCATCTACTAAGATAGCTGACTTGGAAAATGTAATTTTTTTTTCTCAAAATGTATTTTTTTTTTTTTTAATATTTCATTATATTTTTAATCTCCACCCAGTGTATCTCAGACACCGAGCTGATATAGATCACATTCATTTTATATTTTTTAAGTTTTAGTCCAGTTTCTGAAATGCCAGACCATTTCGTTCATTAGTATTTTGCGAGTTTCTACAAAATAAACCATCATGAAATCTAGTAAAAAAAAAAAAAATGTAACGAAAAGACTAAGCCGAGTTGAGATGTGTTTAAACATTTCTACAAAATGATGCAAAAATAAATAAATAAAAATTAAGAACAAATCTAAAGAGAAAAAAAAAACCCCCTACAAAATACAAGTGCTACGTTTTATTTTGTGTGTGTATATATATTTATATATATTCTAATTAATGAATTGTAACATGTTCAGACTATGGAGTAAGGTTTCATGAAAAAAATATATATTTTAATTTAGTTTATGCAATTCATTTTTATTACTAGATTTTCTGAAGTGTATAGTCTATTCCCCCTAAAGATAACATTTTGTATCCTTAATTACATTGCTATCTGGTTTCTGTTTATTAGCTTCTTATATATTTGGATAATTAGAGCAATATATTTGTCTTAAACCAAAATAATCATAAAAATGAACAATTGGAAATAATTGCAAAAAATTATAATTTGTCTATTTTCTCCTATTTGAACAAAATACACTTTTTTTTGTTTATATAATTGAGGTATTGTAAATGTTGAAGATATATGCTCACAATATCACATATATTTGTGTTTTCTTGAATTTTACAGATTACTTGCCATTTGATTAATTTATTGCTACTGTTATGGCTACCAACACAAATTGACAGGGCATAGGAAGGAAAAATAAAAATAAAAAATCATCTACATACTATAGAATTGATGTGGTTAGTTGAGTGGGCAGAAGGGACATTCTGCTTGGCATTGTTACAAAAAATACATTGTTACAAAAAAGTATGACCCTAGCACTGGCCTTCAAAATAATGTAACAAGTAATAAGTCTTCTTAGAATGCCAATTGTTCTTTTCTATATATTTTTTTTTCTTTTTTTCTTTTTTATAAAATATATTAGATATTTATGTTTTGTTTTGTTTTGTTGTTACTTTTTCCCTGTCTATTTTTTTTTTAATTTTTCATAAAATATCAATATGCAAAATTATATAAATTAATTTAAAAACAAACCATATTTAGAAAATTTGTATCCAAAGCTCACTGTTTCATGTTTACTTGTGCTTTTTTTTTTTTTTCACAGTTTGTTTCGTGGGATGTTGAACATTACATTCCCTGCTAGTTCTTTCTTTATCGTTCATTACCTCTTCTGAAAAAGTTTTACATATGAATTCTCAGAACGAAGTACTTCTCTTATCTCGCTCTTTGCAAATAACTTCCTAGCAGCAGTTCAGAGCTTCCTGCTCAAGTCAGAATAAAGAGGTAATTGCTGACATCCTGGCTCTTTCCATCAGTCTCCACCTTAAACCAACAAAAACTGCATAAGCCACAGGGACTTGGAGCAGTCACCATTGCGTGTGTATTAAATGGTCAAATGCTAATTTCCAAAAACCAAGCCCTTAAAGCGGTGCTGTCATTTTTTTTTAACTTTAACTTTTCTTTTCTGTATGCTCTGTATATCTTAATAATTATTCTCCCTCTTGCCTTTATTTATCATTTATTATGTTTTATTCTTTGCACAGAATCACAGTATGTGGGGGGGCACCATTTTGTTTTCTTTTGTCTACAAGGTCTTCAGTCTACCCTTCTGTGGAATTCTTTTGACTGATGGATTGCAGGTAAATTTACTGAGCATCTAAAATGGAACTTTGCTTAAAGGGTTTCTCCAAACTTATTACTACATATCTTCTTTTTTTTTTTTTAAATAAATAATGCCCGACTCCATAACCATTAAAAAGGGTTTTAGTTTTTTGGAACCCAGTAATTTGAGTGGACCATTTAACGACTCAGAGCACACGTGTGTGCTCTGAGACAGCAAGTGAAGGGGGAGAGGGTGGTGGGTCATTGAAAGAAAATCAAGCTGGTTAGGAGGTGGGGAGAGCTGCACAAAGGAACGGACATTTGGCAATCCGGAACTGAGTTATGTGCTGCCAAAGTCACTTGTGCTGGGCTGGCCCACAGGGGCTGAAACACTGCACATACTGACCTTTGCCACCATGACCATGGGAGTCTACAGGGGGTGGCACTCCCCCCTCCCCCCTTTGGATATTTGCACTTGCCCTTCAAAAAAGGGCATACCAAGCAGTCGGGCACTCTGTGGGTTGTCCGGCACAGCCAGCCTTGGGGGGAGGTGGGGGAGTCGGACGCACAGTCGGACCGACCGGGGGGCGCGGTCTCCAGGTGACCGGAATAAGGGAAGCACAGCGCTCCACCAGATGCCAGTCACTGTATGTAGCGTGGCCCGAGCAGGTCACAGTCTGTCAGGAAGTTCTCTCAGTGAGCACTTCCTGACAGAAACAGAAGATCCTCTACCCGCTGTCCGCTTGGCATGGTGGTCAACAGGCATAGGAGGGGATGAGACACATGGAGGGGCTAGGGGGTCTGTATAAGACACATGGGAGATTGGGGGCCAGATTAAGACCCATGGAGTGGCTGTGGGGAGAATGAGACATTTGGAGAGGCTGGGTGGGGTGGATCACTTGGGGGGAGAATGAAGCACATGGAGGGGATGGGGTGGATGACACACTTGTGGGGGGCTGGGGTGAAGAATGAGACACATGGTGGGGCTGGAGGGAGGGGTGAATTAGATATGGAGGTGTGGGAGGGTGAGACACATGGGGGGCTGGGGGGAGAATAAGACACATGGAGGGGTTGGAGGAGAATGAGACATATGGGGGGGAATGAGACACTTGGAGGGACTGGGGGACTTAAGGGGATGTAAGACACAAACTGAGAAAATAAGGTGGGGGTAGATGCAGAATGCATCTTCGTCTGAATAGTCAAAACTTATTGTTGAATAAATTTTGTCATGAGTGTAAAAAACAAAACAAAGCAAGTTTAACATTAGTGTTTGTATCTGTATGTCTGTGCCTCTGTGGCAGTGTTTGTATATGTGTGTCGGTGTGTGTATATCTATGTATCTAGACTTTCAGTGTTTGTGTGTGTGTATGGACTCAGCAGTCTGTGTGTGTGTGTGTATGGACTCAGCAGTCTGTGTGTGTGTGTGTATGGACTCAGCAGTCTCTGTGTATGGACTCAGCAGTCTGTGGGTGTGTGTGTATGGACTCAGCAGTCTGTGTGTGTGTGTGTGAACTCGGCAGTCTCTGTGTGTGTGTATGAACTCAGCAGTCTGTGTGTGTGTATGAACTCAGCAGTCTGTGTGTCTGTGTGTGTATGGACTCAGCAGTCTGTGTGTCTGTGTGTGTATGGACTCAGCAGTATTTGTGTGTGTGTATGGACTCAGCAGTCTGTGTGTGTGTCTGTGTGTGTACGGACTCAGCAGTCTGTATTTGTCTATGGACTCAGCAGTCTGTGTTTGTGTGTCTGTGTGTGTGTGTGTATGGACCCAGCAGTCTGTGTGTGTCTGTGTGTGTATATGGACTCCGCAGTCTGTATGTGTGTCTGTGTGTGTATTTGGACTCAGCAGTCTGTGTGTGTATGGACTCAGCAGTCTGTGTGTGTGTGTGTGTGTGTGTATGGACTCAGCAGTCTGTGTGTAAGTGTATAAATCAGCCTGTGTGCATTCAGCAACGCCTGTGTGCATTCAGCAACGCCTGTGTGCATTCAGGAGTCTGTGTGCATTCAGAAATCTGTGTGTGTATTCAACAGTCTCTCAGTGTTCGTATTCAGTGTACTGTGTGTATGTACTCAGCAGTCTATCAGTCTATCAATAATTAAAAATGTTATTCCTGTGAGTTGTTGTGTAGGAAGGGCCCCAGTGCCCGGGGGCCCTTAACACTGTTAAGATGGTACTGCTTGTGTGTGTCAGTGAGCTTCTATTTAGTGAGCATGTGTGTGTCAGTGAGTTTGTCTGTAGTAAGCTTGTGTGTGAGTAAGAGTTTTTTGTCTGTCAGTGAGCATATTTGCGCATGTCAGTGAGCTTGTGTGCTCACTGTACAATATATATATATATATATATATATATATATATATATATTGACTTGTAGGAATGGAATACATTTTTTTTTCCAGGGCTGCTTTGGATTCCCCAGTTTGGCTCTGCCAGCTGAATCATCTGTGTGAGCTGCCCCCCACTTTAGTCCCCGTCTGGGAGCTGCTGTTGACAGGTACTAGTAGTCTAGAGATTGGGACATGGGGTATATGCTCAGATATCTGACATCTGTATAATACTATAGTGCTGTTCTCTGTATAATACAGATCTGTGTGTGTATAATATCCCGGAATAGTCAGTGCTTCCTGTACAGTGCTGCTCTTTGTATAATACAGGTCTGTGTCTGTATAATATCCTGGGACAGTCAGTGTTCCCTGTATAGTGCTGCTCTCTGTCTTGAGATTTTATACACAAACAGACCTGTATTATACAGAGAGCAGCACTATACAGGGAGCACTGACTGTCCCTGGATATTATACACACAGCCATGTATTATACAGAGAGCAGCACTGTACAGGGAGTGCTGACTGTCCCAATTTATTATACACACAACCCTGTATTATTCAGAGAGCACTGACTGTCCAGGGAT